GGGACACTGAGGATGGTGAGGATGATGATGGTGAGAGTGAGAACACTGAGAATGGTGAGGATGATGACGGTGACAATGGGGACACTGAGGATGGTGAGGATGATGATGGTGAGAGTGAGAACACTGAGAATGGTGAGGATGATGACGGTGACAATGGGGACACTGAGGATGGTGAGGATGATGATGGTCAGGATGAGAACACTGAGGATGATGGGGATGATGACGGTGACAACGGGGACACTGAGGATGATGATGGTGAGGGTGAGAACACTGAGGACACTGAGGATGATGACGGTGACAACGGGGACACTGAGGATGATCATGGTGAGGATGAGAACACTGAGGATGATGACGGTGAGGGTGAGAACACTGAGGACGGTGAGGATGATGACGGTGACAACGGGGACACTGAGGACGGTGACACCAAGCACACACACCCTGCTGACGACGCCAAGCCCGAGGCCGGCGACCGCGAGGACACCGAGGACGGCGACCACGACGACCACGACGACCACGACGACCACGACGACCACGACACCTCCAACCTCCCCCCGGGGGCCTCACCTGCGCGTCGCCATCGCCGCCGTCGCCGCCGGGCCGGAACTGCGGCAGCGTCTCGAGGCAGAAGACGACGATGGAGACGAGGATGACGAGCACGGAGAGCAGGGCCACGGCGCGCGCCGCCGGCGAGCTCTCGGGGTGCTCGCACAGCAGCCAGGCCCGGCGCCTCAGCCCGCCCCGCGGCAGCGCCGGCGGCGCCTCCACCGAGAAGCCCTCGGCCTCGCGCAGCCGCTCCTCGGCCTCGTCGCCCAGCTGGTAGAAGCGCAGCTCCTCCAGGAACACGTCCAGCGGCACGTCCGGGGGTCTGCGCAGCCGCCCCCCGGACTGGTAGTAGTAGAGGACGGCGCCGAAGGCCCCGCGGTGGCGGTCGAAGAAGAACTCGCGGCGCTGGGGGTCGAAGTAGCGGCGCCGGCGCCGGGGGTCCCCCAGGAGGGTGTCGGGGAAGCGCAGGAGGGTGCGGCCGAGGGTCTCGAAGCGCCGGCCGGCCACGTTGATGGCCACGCGCTCGCAGCAGCCCAGCGGCTCCCCCATGGCGGGGGGGGCGCGGGGGGGACCCCCCGGGCGGGCGGGGGGCGGCGCGGACGGCACCGAGGGCAGGGTGGGCGCGGGGGGGGCCCCCCGGGCGGGCGGGGGGCGGCGCGGACGGCACC